ACACCATGGAATACTATGCAGCTGTAAAGAAGAAGGATCTTGTACCCTTTGGGACAGTATGGATGGACCTGGAGAGTATTATGCTAAGCAAAACAAGCCAGGCAGAGAAAGACAAAAATCAATGATCTCACTTATACATGGAATCTAAAGAACATAATAAGCTGATGAACAAAATAATCTTATTTTAATAGCTACTCTAGAGATTGTAACATGCACCTTGGACATCATATATTATAATCCATGTCATTAATTTATTTCTCTTTCCAATGCTGTTAGGAGCTTAGTCATTTTTGTCTCTCTGATTTCCCAGAGAGTTTAGGGGAGAGAGAGAGAGAGAAACATCAATGATGAGTCATTGATTGGCTGCCTCTTGCAAGTCCACCACTGGGGATTAAGCCTGCAACCCAGGCTTGTGCCCTGACCAGGAATCCATCCAGAATCTCCTGGATCATAGGTCGATGCTCAACCACTGACCCACACCAGCCAGGCAGAGCTTAGACATTTTAACTCTATTTACATTCTTCCCAGCTTTTGTAATAAATGTTTGCATTTTGTTCTGCATATATTTATAATCCATAATATACTATTAGTATTATTATGAAGAATTTCAATTATCTTACCCATATATTTACTTTTTCTTGTGTACTTCACATCCACCAGCACATTCATTTCTCTTTTTGATAGCATGTTTCTTCTGATTGAAAGTGTTTTTTTGAGTGTTGACCTGCTGGCAATGAATTTTTTTTTTTCTCCCTCAAGAAAGTTTTGTTCTCCGTCATTTTTGAAAGTAATTTTCACAAACTAAAGAATTCTAGGCTGGCAATTATATTTATCAAGTAAATATGTGATTCCATTGTCTTCTGTGTTCAATTATTTTATTGAGGTCAATCATCTATTTTATTTCATTCTTTTTAAGATATATTTTATCTCTGACTGCTCTTCAGACCTCAGTGTCTCTGGTTTTCAACAGTTTTATTATATATTATTAGGTGTGTGTCTGTGTGTTTCTCCTGCTAGAAGTTCATTTCTTAAAGCAATAGGATAATGTTTATATACTTTTGGGAAATCTTAGCCATTATGTTTTTTATTACTTCTTTTTCTTTTTCTCCTTTTCTAATGGGATTTTATTTTAATGATTTTAGGTTTATCGATATGTTCCACATATAATATTCTTCTTTTAACATTTCTCTAATGTGTGTCAGTAACTGATTTTTGTCACTGACTCTTCTTCTAATTAACTAATCTAGGTAATTGCACAATGCAGTTTATAATTCAAAATGTTTACTGTTTTCCTGAATTTAACTATTTTATTTTTAAGCTGTAGGGTATGTATTTGATAACTTTGCATAAATGTTAAAAAGAATCTACCTTCTTTTATATAGCTTCATTTTTCTTTCAGTTTTTCTAAAAGAGTAATCATAGTGATTTTTGTCTTTTATCTTCTTTTACACTCTCTGGATCATCTTTTAGGTGGCTTCTAGCTTCTCTTTTACTATCTTTGTTGTTGCTGTTTTCTTATTACTGGCCATACATTTTTTCCTCTTGATATGTGTGATAAGTTTTTATTGTTCGATAGATGTTCTAAATAAAGAATCATAAGAATTCTTATGATTAAGGGTAGAATGACCTTTGACTTAAGAACTTTCTGTTTTTCTTCTGAAAAACTGAATGAAAACTTCAGTACAATTAGGAATTGAGTTTGGTCAGAAAATAGTGTAATTTTAGTAAAACACATATACCTAAATGGACTTTCTATTGAGAGCCCATGTACCTCTATTTTCTGAGCTCTGAAAGCAATGAATGATTACATACTGACACTCAAATTTTGAAAAATTCAATTCTCTAGCATATATTACAAGCTCCTTCAAAATCAGGCAAGTGTTTTAAATGGAAGACAATATATATATTTGAGGCAAGCCCCTTTCCACTAGGTCTTTGCTTCCTAAGTGCAACAGATTGTAGATATTTCTGCTTTTTAAGCTTTATACCTATCTTACCAGTCTCCCACAGAAGACCTAAACAAATGTGTAGGGAAAACTAATTTAGAATTTGATGCCCTTATGTGTCAATCTAGTCTCTTCGACACACTAAGAGATTTTCAGGGTTCTCTTTCTTTAACAGAGGTGCTCTGGATGGGCCAAGCCTGATCCTTAATTTATATTCAGAATTAACATGTCTCAGGGAGCAATCATTTTTGTTCTAGGGGGTAAAAGTACTAATAATTCAGATTGTTTTCCCTTCTCTATAATTCTTAAGTCTTCAAATCTTCATGTCTTCCACAGCCCTCTGTATTTTTAAAAATATAAATTTAAAAAATTTATTTGATATAGTTGTGGTTTTCAGAAAAATTAGTTATCTGCCAAGACCTACGTAGAATTGGAATTATCTTTATCTCATTTTATAACCAAAGCAACCCAGAAAATAAGAGACAACTGCTGTTGCCATCCTGTCTTTTATTTTGTTGGAAACTTGCTATAAATTCAAGTAACTTTCCTAAGATAGTAAAGGGCAGTGGTAAGGAGAAACTCAAACAAACAAAAGCTTTTTATACTTCCTCATTCTTGTGTGTGTGTTTTTTTTTCATTATACTAAGATCAGCACATTAGTTTAGTGGGTTTAGAGGGATAGAATTAAAAATAAGGAATTGGGTAAACAGCTATTGAAGAACAAAACAAGTTAAAGGAGACCGTGTTACTAACTGGTTAGTAACCATGAAATAGTAAGTGTAAGAGGGTGATTTCAGTCATGGAGCTGAGAAGCAAAAGAAAAGGTTAGGGTTATATGGATCTATAGGACTGTAGGGCTGGCCCCATGGATCTGAGACTCAGAACTCTGAAAGTAACACATCAGACAACTATGCTGAGACCTCTCAGGCTGACAATGAGGTTGGTCTGGAGTAAATTTTTAAAAAAGGGTATTGAATTTAAGTATAACTTCCAGTGTAATATCTCTTATTGAGGTAACATTGACATACAGGAGGCAAACAGATCTCCCAGATTTCCAAACTCCCATTCATTCTCCCTATTGCAGATCCATTTAGAAAGAGTGGTGGTACAACAGAAATGTGGTTCCAAAAATGCAGAGTACAAAATGGGAAGGGGCTTTGGAGCTGAGAAGTAGTAACTCAAAAACTGGTACACCATCCATGTGCCACACCATTTCCAGAATACATGAAGAAATAAATTTTAGGTAAAATAAACCTAACTGTTTAAAATAATGAAGATTAAGTAGAAACATACTAGGAATTACCTTTTTTAATGAATACCTATTTGGATACATTTTTTGGTACTGGTTGCTTTTGTTTCCCATGTTGACTCTGGGAAAATGACAATTTAGGTCAGCTAAGATTTTGGCCCTGGTCTTGTAGGTTGAGTCATAACAGGTTATGAGGGTCTCCATTGTGGAGGTGGAATATTTGGTGGGGGTTTCTGTTGTGGAGGTGGAATATTTGGTGGGGGTTTCTGTTGTGGAGGTGGAATATTTGGTGGGGGTTTCTGTTGTTGAATCGGAATATTTGGTGGGGGTTTCTGTTGTTGAATCGGAATATTTGGTGGGGCTTTCTGTTGTTGAATTGGAATATTTGGTGGGGGTTTCTGTTGTTGAATCGGAATATTTGGTGGGGGTTTCTGTTGTTGAATCGGAATATTCGGTGGGGGTTTCACTTCTTGGGCTGGAATATTTGGTGTTGCTTTTGATTCTGGTGTCTCAGCTACATTCATGTTAGGGGGAGGCTCAACAATTTGCTCTTTTACCTTAGTTCTTTTCTTCATACAAAGACACAAAAGACAACATAATAAAACTAACAACCAAAACAGTGAAAACAATAACACATAAATCTTCTGAATCTTCTTTCTTCTAGGGGGTGGACCACTGTCAATACTACCTCCATGGCCTTTTATTAGGCAGTTGGGAGGGTCCCACATATAGTTGCAATGGCAGTGATGTTTATTGTTGCAGATCCCCCTCTGATTACAGAACGAAGGTGAACAATTACTATGCAAGTGAGATATATGGACACACTTCTTATGGATGCAGACATGTTCTTCACCGCACTCTGTGCCATCTTTCACTGCACCTATATCAGGTATGGTCATCCCAATGTGGTAGTCAGTACCCCAGCAGTTAACACCATTGTACTCAATCCAATGCACAGTAGAATGATCTGTTAGAAGAGGAAGTTTAGTTACACCCTCACACTGAATTCTCCCACACAAGATATCTGAGATATTACACTTTATATATGAAAAGTTTCGGGTACCACAGTTACCAAAACGGTCACCTAGGGTGTTTATTTTTTTGTAGCAATTGTGGTTTGCATTCTTTGCCTGTTGGCCAAAAATCTGCTTACACTGTGAATTGCGGTCATTGCATCTTTTTTCGTAGCAGTAGGCACTATCATTACAGGGAATTCCATCTTCCACATATACATCATCTGGGCACATATGAGACGTTCCATTGCACCATTCTGGAAGATCACATTCATTGATCTCCTTTCTACACATTTTCCCTGATGGTAAGAACTTGCAGTCCTGGCAACAAAGCCCATAAGCACATTTAGACCCAAAACTCAGGGTGCAGTTTGACAGACAACAGGCATCTTTTACGCATTGCTGCAAAGTTCCACAGTCACACTCCTCTTCTCCTTCAACAATACCATTCCCACAGCGTTTTCGGTTAAATATGTCACTTGTGTATATATTATAGAACAAGCATTTTGCCTGAGCCACAGCATAATTCCATAAAGCAGCATAACTACAATTGCTAAATTTAGTTACTGGTGGATTATCAAAATGCATGATACATTTATGTTTTCCACATGTACACAAAAATCTATCATGCATTAAACCCAAACCATGCCCTATATGATGAGCCATTGCAATTCCATTAACAGTGAAGGGTTTTCTTGTAAGAGTGATGACTGAACAACTATAGGGTGGTCTACACGTTCCTGAAGTATAGGATAAACCACTCATTCCTCTTAATGTCTTATATATTAAAAGATGTGCAGAATCATGTGGCATGCGGGAAACAAGGTTTTCAACCTTCCAATTGCAAAAAATTGCCAGAGATCTCTTTACATCATCTACTTCAATGTAGTTTGCTTGAGTCCACACCTCCATGCCAAACAATAAAACCTTAAGACCTGTTATCTCATAAATGGAATCCACTATATTTACCATAACATATATATCTTCCTGCACTGCTGAGACATTTTTTTTACTTTGAAGATAGAGACTATTGTCAACCACCACTACTATTTCAATAAAGTACCTGTGGGGCCACCAGCCCTCATAAGAACTTTGCTTCAGAGTAGAATTACCAATCTCTTGAAACTCAAATTGCTGTACAATTTCCTCTTGCATAAAGCCAGATTTCATGGTTTTGAATTGAGTCTCCTCTCTATCCATTTTATATATCAGATGTTCAAACTTGGTAGACAAAATCATGGGCTTAATTTCATAAGCAATGTCATTTATCTGTAACAATCCTCGAAAGCCACCAAAACAGGTACTGAGGGCAACCAGGGATTCTGGGTCCCCCTCCACATAACCATGATAGTAGCAGTCATTCTGAACAAAAGGCTGATCCTCAAGGAGAGCACCTTGGTCGCTGTAGGTGAACACTGGGAAGTGTCTGGACAGCAAATGCTTCTTGACCTTCATGTAGACAATGTGTCTCTCACCTCCGAAATGAAGACCATAACAGAGCCAGCCTGGAAACTTCATATTGAGGCTAGCGCCTGTTACCTTCAAGGGAATCACCACTTCTGGAGCACTGTGATATTGGGGGTACTCAGCCCGAGTGTGTCCAGAAAAGGACAGAAACACCCCAAGCCAGCGTAGTAGAAGCATGATCATCATGTACACAGGGCTTCAATTATAGTAATTATGAAGCCATCGTTATGGAAACATTGGTCCAGAGAAAAAGGCAAACAGGGCAAGATCACAGGTGGTCTGGATCCTTATTCTGAGACGGGCAATGCGCAGGGCTAATCATTAAGTATTGGTCTTCTGGAAAAGTTGAACCATTAGAGCAATCAGCCTTATAAGTAAAACAAAAAGCCTGTGGATGGGTGGTTATAATGGCCTGGTGAAGAGAAAGGAAAAGGCATGCAATAAAAGTGATTAGTATTTTGATCAAGGGATGACTCAAGAAACTACCTAGAATTTGCTCTTAAATATTGGAAGTGTATAGAAGAATGAAAACTGGCCAGAGATTTATAGTTACTAAACCTAGATGATGGATAAATAAGGATTCATTATACTATTCTCTAAGTACATGCATGTGTGAACATTTCTGCAATAGTTAAAACAGAAGAGTCTTATGGGTAAGGTGATCATATATCTCAGGTTGCTGGAATTGTCCCAATTTACACGTTAAATTGGCATAAATAATAATACCCCTTTTTCATCCTCAAGTGATAAATTATTTGATAACATTACCTAAGATATATATATATAGTATAGATATATATAATATACATATAAACATATATTAAAATTATTTTATAACATTGCCTATGCATAATATATGCATATGTATATAAACATAAAATACTCATGTATATATAAAACTTTCATGTTATTTTTAAATCTCTTTTATGGTACCTACCATACACCTCCCTAGAGCAAAGTGTTTATTTTTCTCTTTTCTACATTACTTTCCTCACTAGACTTGTCAGACTGGAGTACTCAAGAGCACTATTTATGTCCTTATACTGGAGTATTACTCAAAAAGTATTTATACTTGGTTTTGTTTTTCATAATCCTCCCCTGACAATTTCCCCCGCCCCCCCATTGCTTTTCAGAGAGAGTGGAAGGAAGAGGGAGAGAAACATAGATGTGTTGATTGCTTGCCTCCTGTAGGGAATCCAGCCCGCAACCCAGGCACATGCCCTTGGCTGAATTTGAACCTGGGACCCTTCAATCTCCCTAACTGTGGTTTTGATTTGCAAAATTGTTATCAATTTTATTTATTAAAAAAACACAGTTTCTAGTTTCATTAATTCAAGTTTTTGATTTTTTTTAATGTAAGCATTGAGAATGAAGTCTACCTATCCTTGGTGAAGTTGGTATTGTATTGTATTGTTTGTTTGGTTTTTATTTTTTTATTGTTCAAATTATTACAGATGTCCTCCTTTTTCCCCATTGACTCCTTCCGCCCCTCACCCACTCCCTCCCCAGACCTTCACCACACTACTCTCTGTGTCCATGGGCTATGCATATATGCATATAGATCCTTTGGTTAGTCTCTGCCCACCCACCCAAAGTCCCCTACCTTACCTCTGAGATTCATCAGTTTGATCCATACTTCCATGTCACTGAATCTGTTTTGTTAACCAGTTTATTAAGTCCTTTAGATTCCACATGTAAGTGAGATCATGTGATATTTGTCTTTCTCTGCCTGGCTTGTTTTGCTTAGCATAATACTCTCCAGGTCCTTCCATACTGTCCCAAAGGGTACAAGATCCTTCTTCTTTACAGCTGCATAGTATTCCATGGTGTAAATGTCCCACAGCTTTTTCATCCGCTCATCTACTGATGGGCACTTGGGCTGTTTCTGGATCTTAGCTATTGTAAATTGCGCTGCTATGAACATAGGGGTGCAAATATTCTTTCTGGTTAGTGTTTCAGGATTCTTAGAATATATTTCTAGAAGACGGATCACTGAGTCAAACGGAAGCTCCATTTTTAATTTTTTGAGGAACCTCCAAACTGTCTTCCATAGAGGCTGCACCAGTCTGCATTCCCACCAGCAGTGTACCAGGGTTCCCCTTTCTCCAAATCTTCACCAGCATGTTTCCTTTGTTGATTTGTTGATGGCAGCCATTCTGACAGGTGTGAAGTGATACCTCATGGTCGTTTTAATTTGCGTGTCTCTGATGAATAGGGACACTGAGTATTTTTTCATATGTCTCTTGGCCATCTGTATGTCCTCTTTGGAGAAGTGTCTATTCAGGTCCTTTGCCCATTTTTAAATTGGATTGTTTGTCTTCCCCTTGTTGAGTTGTATGAGTTCTTTATACACTTTGGAAATTAGCCTCTCATCAGAAGCATCCTTGGCAAATATGTTCTCCCATATCATGGTGTTCCTTTGTATTTTGAGAATGACTTCTTCTGATGTGCAGAAGCTTTTGAGTTTGATGTAGTCCCATTTGTTTATTTTTTCCTTTGATTCTCTTGTCCCAGGAGATGTACTGGTAAAAATTCCACTGCATGAGGTGTCTGCGACTTTACTGCCTATGTGTCCTTCCAGGAGTTTTATGGTTTCACGACTTAAATGACATTTAAATCTTTTATTCATTTTGAAATTATTCTTGTGTGTGGAGTAAGTAGTGATCTAGGTTCTTTTTTTTTTTTTTTTCCGCATGTCCTTGTCCAGTTTTCCCAACAACTTTTATTGAAGAGGCTATCTTTACTCAGTTGTATGCACTTGCCTCCTTTGTCAAATGTTAACTGACCAAATGGCATGGGTCAATTTCTGGGGTCTCTGTTCTGTTCCACTGAACTATATGTCTGTTGTTGTACCAACACCAGGCTGTTTTGATTACAGTGGCTTTGAAGTATAGTTTGATATCCAGTAAGGTGATTCTTCCCACTCTGTTCTTCTTTGTCAAGGTTGTTGCGGCTATTTGGGGTCTTTTTTGTTCCATACAAATTTTTAGATTATTTGTTCTAGTTCTGTGAAATGTGCTGTTGGTATTTTAATAGAAAATGCATTGAATCTATAAATTGCTTCGAGTAGTATGAACATTTTAATGATATTAATTCTTCCAACACATGAACACAGTATATTCTTCAGCTTGTTTATATCTTCCTCTATTTCTTTTTTTTCAGTGTCCTGTAGTTTTCTGAGTACAGGTCTTTTATATCCTTGGTTAAGTTTATTCCTAGGTACCTTATTTTTTTAGTTGCAATGGTAAATGGTATTGTTTTTTTAGTTTCTCTTTCTGAGAGTTCATTGTTAGTGTATAAAAATGCTGCCGATTTCTGAATGTTAATTTTGTATCCAGCTACCTTGCTGAATTCGTTTATCAAATCTAGTAGTACTTTGGTGGAGTCTTTAGGTTTTACTATGTACAATATCATGTCATCTGCAAATAATGACAGTTTTACTTCCTCCATTACAATTTGGATACCTTTTATGTTTTCTCCCTGTCTGATGGCTATGGCAAGGGACTTCCAGTACTATGTTGAATAAGAGTGGTGAAAGCGGACACCCCTGTCTTGTTCCTGTTTTTAAGGGAAATGCTTTTAGTTTTTGACCATTGAGTATGATGTTGGCTGTAGGTTTGTCATATATGGCCTTTATTATGGTGAAGTATGTTCCCTCTATTCCCACCTTGCTGAGAGTTTTAATCAAAAATAGGTGCTGTATTTTTTCTAATGCTTTTTCTGCATCTATAGATATGAGCATGTGATTTTTGTCCTTCATTTCGTTCATGTGATGTATCACATTTATTGATTGGCAGATGTTATACCAGCCTTGCATCCCTGGAATAAACCTCCCTTTGTAATGGTGTATGATCTTTTTAATGTATTGCTGGATCCGGTTTCCTAGTATTTTGTTGAGGATTTTAGCATCTATGCTTATCAGGGACATTGGTCTGTAATTTTCTTTCTTCATAGTGTTTTTATCTAGTTTTGGAATTAGGATGATGCTGGCCTCATAAAAAGAGTTTGGGAGTTTTCTCTCCTCTTGAATTTTCTGGAATAGTTTGAGGAGAATAGGTGTTAACTCTTCTTTGAATGTTTGGTAAAACTCACCTGTAAATCCATCTGGTCCAGGACTTTTGTTGGCTGGGAGTTTTTTGATTACTGCTTCAATTTCATTAGTTGTTATTGGCTTATTCAGGCTTTCTGCTTCTTCCTGATTCAGCTTTGGGAGATTGTATTCTTCTAGTAATTTGTTCATTTCCCCCATGTTGTCCAGTTTGTTGGAACATAGTGACTCATAGTATTTTCTTATGATCCTCTGTATTTCTGTTGGGTCAGTTGTTATATCGCCTCTTTCATTTCTGATTTTATTTATTTGGGTCCTCTATTTCTTGGTGAGTCTGGCTAAGGGTGCATCAATCTTATTTATCTTTTCAAAAAATCAGCTCTTGATTTCATTGATATTTTTGTATTTTTTTAGTCTCTATGTCATTAATTTCTGTTCTGATCTTTATTATTTCCTTCCTTCTACTTCCTCAGGACTTTTCTTGCTGTTCCCTTTCTAATTCTTTTAGTTGTTGTGTTAGATGGTTTAATAAAGTTTTTTGTTGTTTCTTGAGGTAGGCCTGTACTGCTATGAACTTTCCTCTCAGGACTTCTTTCACTGTGTCCCATAGATTTTGGGTTGTTGTCTGTTCATTTTCATTTTTTTCCAGGAGGTGTTTTATTTCTTCCGTGATCTCATTGGTAACCCATTCATTGTTTAATAACGTGCTACTTAGCCTCCATGTGCTTAAATATTTTTGAGGGTTTTTTTAGTGGTTGATTTCTAGTTTCATGACATTGTGACACAAGAAGACACTTGAAATGATTTCAATCTTCTTGAACTTTTAGAGACTTGCTTTGTGCCCTTTCATGTGGTCTGTTTTTGAGAACGTTCCATGTGCACTTGAGAAGAATGTGTATTCTGCTGCTTTGGGATATAATGTTCTATAAATGACAATCAAATCCATTAGATCTAGTGTGTCATTTAAGGTCTGTGTTTCCCTATTGATTTTTTGTCTTGATGATCAGTGCTGACAGTGGGGTGTTAAAGTCCCCCACTATGATTGTGTTGCTTTTGATCTCCCCTTTAAAGTCTACCAAGAAACTTTTTATATATTTAAGTACTCCTTTATTGGGTGCCTATATATTTATAAGGGTTATTACCTCCTGTTGGATTGATCCCTTTAGTATTATGTAGTCACCTTCTTTGTATCTT